TTTGTTTCTCTCAGACGATTTCCCTTTCTTGTATTTTTGCTTTTCAAGGACAATGAAAATCTTGAGAGTTGTCCTCTGGCTGAGGACTTTTTAAGCACACTAGAAACAGGGCAGTCACTCATCCTGATAGCTTAATAAGACAAAAAAAAAAAAAAAGGTGACTTCTCAGATGCAGGACCTCTCCTTCCTCTCCCTACTTTAGCATCTTGAGGCAGGCATTAGGATTATTTGCCACGGTTGGGCTGAGTTGCCCCTGGCGTTTTTAGAGGTAGGTAGCTGCACAGTTGTTGATTTCCTGGCCTCCTTTGCAGTGACTTTACATGCAATCATCACATTAGTTTTGTGGGCTAGGCTCCCCCTGTGGAGTGAGGAGAGGCTCATTTGGTTGCCTCTGCTTCTATGACCGACCATGCCAGTAGGGTTCTGGCACTCCTTGGCTCTGCCTGTTCTGTCCTGGACTAATGTCACTGTCCTTCAAGCTATTGTCACCAAAGCCTGTTTGGAGACTTTGCTGCACTTTGATCCAAGACAGCATGGAATAACTTCCTGAAGGACTGCTTCCTTCCACACAGGGAAGGGCACAGCTGAGCCAGAACCCTGTGTCATCCAAGTCTCCTTTCCTTATTTATAAAGGGTGAGGATCAGACAAGATTGCCTCTAAAATGCCTCCTGCTCACATAGTCAGTGAGCTAAAAAAGGAGAAAGCACAGGCCTGCTGGTGTATATCTGAATTCCCAATACTCAGAAGTCAGAGGCAAGGAAGATTGTTGTGAGTTCCAGGCTGGCCACGAACATGATTTGATCCTATCTCAAAACTACAAGTAAGAAGGTTTAAAAACATGTCCACAGGATGTTTATGCTGTGTGTGTGATTAGCAAAGAACAGTCACGGTGCAAATGGCACAAGTTACTGAGATGACAGACTATGGCCAGGAGGTTTGTAAACGATTAGATCCCAGGAAGATGACACGTGCTCCCTTCATGTGTGTGAAATCTTTGAAGCTGATGAAGGGCTGAGAATGCCTGGTACACTAGAAGTGATGGGTAGCATGTGATGCAGAGATTAAGGGCTCTGATGGGCAAAGCCCTTCATTTACCTGCTTCTAGTACTCGATGCTGGTATATGGGTTTTTGATGAGAACAGCTCATTATCAGTAAGTCTTGTGACTTGGCGTTATCTCAAGGACACCATCATGTGCCGTATGCAAAGACAGTATATTGATGACATACTCTTGTTTCCCATAATAGATTTAGGTGTGTCTGATAAGGACTGACTCAGGACGGGCAAGTCTTTCTCCATTACCCAGATACTGAGACTGGCTTTGGTCTGCAATTACTATACAGGTTCCCTGCATCTGCCATCTCTCTGATTCTATATACACGTGGATTCTTGGCAGTCCCACCTCAGCTTAGGGCTCCTCAATCTGGCTGCTCAGGGTATTTGTGAAGTCCATGCAGCTCTTTGCAGAATTATACATATATGAGTGTATGTCCATATGAGTAATGCCAGACAGAACAAAGGGATAAAAAGGAATGCTGCTGGAAAAGGTAATATATATGTATAATGAGGGCACCGGGGAGACTGAAGCAGGAGGATTACTCCGAGTTTAAGATCAGCCTGAGTTACCATGTGCTCTAGGCATCTTGGGCTACAGAGTAAGGTCTTGTCTCAAAATCAACAACAACAATAACAACAACAACAAAACAACAGCAATGAATAAAAAGCAAACCAAAATGGCAAGAACTGCCACCGAAGGTGTCCCCAGCTAGGGAGGAATGAAAGGGACTTCATAAGATTAAAATATAAAGGTTTAATCTTAACACAGCGACCCCCAGCACTAATACAGAGATCACACACACACACACACACACACACACACACACACACATACACACACCACACACTCCTCCAGTAACAAATGATGTAATGGTTTTCATGGTTTCAGAGCAGAGTAGCTGTCTAGGACTGAGCCCAGGGTGGCTGGGAGGCCTGAGCATGTCTGAAGACTTGGCACTTTCCTTGGCCTTAGAAAGGGAGACTGTTTTAGTTCCCCCCCCCCCAACAAACGTACATGTCATAGGATACTTTCCAGGGAAAGAAAGAGAAACCGACTTTAAGGGCAGGAATTTAGAATGTAAAATAAAAGTTTCAGGGTAGGACTTTAAACTTATTTTCATTAAGGTGGGTTTTTTTTTGTTTTGTTTTGTTTTGTTTTTTAAAAAAGGTTTCTTTCCCAGCTTTTGTTTGTGAGAGAATAACTCCTTTATGCCTAGCTTTGCCTCTAGGCTAGCAGGGGCTGTAGGGCCACACCCTAGGGCGTGTTTTGGCTCTGGTCAGTTTTCCTCCTTCTCTCCTTCCTTTTCTCCCTGCTTCTCCACCCTTCCCCCTCAAAACACTTCTCCCTCTCCCTCTCCCTCTCCCTCTCTCTCTCCCTCTCCCTCTCCCTCTCCCTCTCCCTCTCCCTCTCCCTCTCTCTCTCCCTCTCCCTTCCCCCCTCTCCCTCTTCCATCTTTTAAAAGGTATAATCTTTATTTATTACTAGTGTAGATCTGGAACATCTTAAAGAGATATCGACCACCATAAATCTATCTGGGAAAGGAAGTGGACTTCAGATTAATCTGACTTTGAATATACAGAACGTCTCTTTAACAAAGGCAACTGAGCCGGGCAGTGTTGGCACATGCCTTTAATCCCAGTACTTGGGAGGCAGAGGCAGGCAGATTTCTGAGTTCGAGGCCAGCCTGGTCTACAGAGTGAGTTCCAGGACAGCCAGGACAGAGAAACCCTGTCTCGAAAAACCAAAAGCAACAAAAAGGCTACAAGGCAACTGAGCTGAGGATGGTAGAATGCCTATCACATGTTTAAGGATCTGAGTCTGTTTCCCAGCATCCACCAAAAAAAAAAAAAGAAATTCGATGTCTGTAATCCCACTGTTAAGGAAGAAGAGACAGGTGGATCTCTGGGGCTCGCTGAGTCTGGGAGCTCCATGTTCAGTGGGAGATGCTGTCAAAACATTAAGGTGAACAGCAATTGAGAAAGACAGCCTACATCACAGCCTACACATACATGTACACACACTTGCACATACATGAACGCACACACATACACACAAAAGGCAACCTTTGAATTCTACATACATACATACATACATACATACATACATACCTAAGTGTTCAGCCTCAGCTGCTTTTTTCATGAGGGAGTTAAAAAGACCAAACTCCATTCATTCTAGAGATAGCATGATATAGGTATGATGCTGACCTGTAGTTTTAGAAACTTACCTTTTGGTGTTTGACAGGCATAGAACAATTAACCACAATAATGCATGGCCTGACTTCTGAAAAGGAAAGGCCAAAGTGACTGGGGGAATATTCCAGATCACCCACAGATGGATACTCAGTGTCACTTAAAATACAGGCGGTAGGTCGAAGAGAAGCAACACTGTTCAGCAGTTAAGTTTAGCTGGGAACTGCATCTATTGGGTCCTCAAGGATAAATCTCCATGTAAGTGCTGAACAAAGAAGACAAACTGTAAGATGTACACAAGATTTACTCTGTCTCTGTCTCTGTCTCTGTCTCTGTCTCTCTCTCTCTCTTTGTGTGTGTGTGTGTCTCTGTGTGTGTGTGTGTGTTGGCCTCTTAAAGTGTGAGTATTTGTTTTTAATGATCTGGGGTGAAATACATGTCATGGACCGGATGACCATGTGAGGGACAGCCTATGTTTCATCTGTTTGTGCTGGCTCTGTTGATGGTCTCTGGATGCCCAACTTTCTTCTGAAGAAACCATATGACATTTCGTGAACATCCTGCCTTCGTCTAATGGGTCATATGACTTCCTGGTAGCCAGGGTCTCATCCAGGTCCAGAAAGCTATGTCTTTTCTGTGTGTGTGTGTGTGTGTGTTTCAGTGTAGCTATAAATAACTAAATATATAACCAAAAAAAAAAGCAGAAAATAAAAGATGCTATAGCCAGCACAGTATATTTTCAGAATTTGGAATTTGCCCTTCACAGTGTATGGTGAGTTCTCTTACCTCTGATCCTAGCCAAAGCCTACATCTTAAGTCCTGTGCCAATGTCCTGCCAGCCACACCCCTGAATGGCTGCAGCTGGCAGCCTGGCCCTGAGAGGGTCAGAGAAGGTAAGGACTGCTGTCCTTTCTCAAAGGAGGGTCTTCCTCCAGGGTTGGGCAGGAGATATCTGTAGCTTCTCTTGTGCAATGTAAGTCAGGCTTCACACCATGCGTTTGTCCTACGACACAGAGTGAAGATAAATTTACCTTCTCAGTCATCTTCCCTGTCCTCAAAGCAGGGCATTTAAGGTCAAACAGACTTTTAGTGTACACCCTGTGCCAGCTGGGCCCCACCCAGGGAGAGAATTGGAGCCAGATATAGGGCTACAGTTTAACAGCCCTGTAAAGTGTTCAGCCATTTTTTTTTAAAGTAGAAAATGTTCATCTCTAAGAAAAAGCTGCAAGGAAGCATACACTACTTAGAACAGGAATCTATTTTACTCCGTCGGAGGGAAACGGGTGTTGAGCTAAACTTTGTTACGTGGCGATTGGTGAAATTCCTGCATAAATGGCTATAGAAGTTAATAGCTTCAGCCAATTAGGAGGGCACTCTGGGAACCTTCTGAAGTCTTGTAGTTCCACCTCCCTTGTTTTAATATTCTATTAAATTTTGTGTACTCTAAAGCATTCTCATTGTGAACCACTGGATGCTGTAACGAAAGAATACATTCATTTCAACAAATGTACCCCAATGCAACCACAGGCTAATGCACATTTTACAGGATCAAAAGGAAAACAATAGAATTAGGCTTCAATTTCAGGGACTCTAGAGTAGTAAATCCACGCTTGCACTAGAGCCCTCGGCAAGGTTGGTAGGCTAGCCATTTACAAATCCAATTTTCTCAGCTTGCTGAGAAGAGCTGAGGGTAAGTTCCCAGACAAATGAACAAGAAGGAAAAGTGTCTATTGGTTTTCTTTCATTCTTTCCAGATCCTGGCTCCCTGAAGGGCACACTGAGCGAGCAGGTTGACCGGGAAGTTGATCAACACTTTCTGCCAGGTGCGTTTCCTGTGTAACAGCGTCATGACTTTTCTGAAGTTTTGATATAGTAGTGACACTGATTTTTTAAGAAAGTATTCCCCAGAGCGTGTTTTCCTCTGATTTCATTAGATGGTTTTCTAAGCTGAATCTTCACTTTAGACATTGCTCATGCTTTTTAACACGTCAGGGGGACCACTGGTGACTGTAAAGGAAATCTGGAGGTGAAGAGAAGTTTCTGAGACAGAATTTCTTTGTCACTTCTAATTCCCAAATTTTACTGTGCAAAAGAAAATGGAAAAAAAAATCTGAAAACTTTTTTTTTGTTGTTGTTTTTTTGTTTTTGTTTTTTTTTGTTTAGAGCAGACAGTACTTTAAAAGTACGGCTCACTCGTGGGACTGGAAAGGCAATTCCATGGTTAAAAGCACTTGCTCTCAGAGAGGACCCAAACTCTGTTTCCAGCATTCACCCATGATGGCTTACAACTCCAAGTCCTGGGCATTTGATGCTCTCTTTTGACCTCTGAGGGAACCAGATACCCATGTGTACAAATGCACACACAGATGCACACACACACAGATACACACACACACACACACACACACACACACACACACTAGTTAAGAATAAGAACAGATTATTAAAAACTATTGCTAATACAATGTTAAATTCTGTTTAACTTTGAACGAAGTAAAAAAAAAATACATGAATATATGAATATTGCTTCAACAGTTCTTTCCTTTCTTACTTTTTTTTTTTTTTTTTTTTTGAGACAAGGTTTCTCTGTGTAGCTCTGGCTGTCCTGGAACTCACTCTGTAGACCAGGCTGGCCTCCAACTCACAGAGATCTGCCTGTGAGTCCTGAGATTAAAGACATGTACCACCATTACCCAGACCAGCAACTATTTCCTAATAATAAATACTAAAATCTGACCACAAATCGTGTTCGTTCCTTTGTTGTGCAGCCTTGCAAGTCTGAGGTGCTTTGCCCTCTCTCCTCTGAGCTACTTCCTCTTCCTTTTTCTCCCTTTTGTTTTTGTTTTCTCTTTTAATTTGAGGCAGGGTCTTGGTAAACTATGTTTCTATTGTTGTGATAAAACGCCGTGAACAAGGCAACCTATAGAGTAGTGGTTCGAAACCTTTCTGATGCTGTGACCATACAGTTCCTCCTGTTGTGGTGACCTCTATAAAATTATTTTTGTTTCTACTTTGTAACTGTAATTTTGCTACTGTTATGGATTGTAATGTAAATATCTGATATGTAGGATGTGTGTTATGTGTCAACCCCCCAGGGGTCACGACCCCCAGGTTAAGAACTGCTGCTCTAGAAGGACCGTTTACTAGAGCTTATGGTTCCAGAGGGTTCGATTCCATGATGGCTGAGTAAAGGTAGGATGGACAGGCTAAGAGTAAACCTCTTGAACCACAAGACTAAGCAGAGAAAATGAACTCAAAATAGCATGAGTCTTTAAAATCTGAGAGCCCACCTTGAGTGACACCCTTTCTCTAAGAAAGCCATACTTCCTAAAACTCCCAAACAATGTCCTCAGTTAGGAACCAAGAATTTAAATTCTGAGACTAGAGAGGGTGTTTCTCATTCAAAACATCACATTCGCTTCCCGGCCCTCACAGTCTTGTGGAGGTATGAAAAATGCAAAACACATCTAGTCCAGCTCTAAAACTCCCCATGGCCCTTTACAGTTGCAACACTGTTTGAAAACCCAAGGTTCAGAGTCTCTTCTGAGACTCAAAGGCAATCACTTAGCTATAATCTCCTGTTAAAAAACAAACAAACAAGTACAAATTACATACTTCCAAAGATACAATGGCATAGAATATACATATTAGCGTTCAAAAAAGGAGGAATTGGGGCATAGAGGAGAAATATTGGACCAAATAAAGACTGAAGGCCAGCAAGACAAAACTCTAAGTCCTGTGGCTCCACATCTGGTGTCCTGTGGCTTAGACACTCTGTCTGAAGGGCATTTCTGGTGTTGCCGGCTGTAACATGTTCTCTCTCAGGCCTGCTCCACTCCTGTGCCCAGCTCTCCTTGGCAGATATCTCAAAACTCTGTCATTGCTAACATCTTGGGGGTCTTCCCTTCAACTGTGCTTCATCTCAACAGCTTCACACAGTGACCTCTCAGGGTCTCTCTCCATGCAGGAACTCTCCTCACACAGTATCTGGCTTCAGGAGCTGTCAGAAGCACGGAGGAAGAGTCCACCACCTGTTTCCTTGTGCATGCATCCTTCCCACAAGGTGGACAGTGGCAAGTTCAGGGACTAGGTTAAGATGGACCCTGGCCCCCTTGAGTCACATTTGCAGCAACTTTTGTTTCTTGTTCCTTTCTAGGAACAGATAAGTTCTCAGGCCCCTTTCTTTCACAAGTGAACCATAGGTGAGTGGGGTTTTGCCCCGGAGGGCAGCCTTTTCTTTATTCCATTGTAGACTTGGCCTTTACCTAATGACAGTAATCTTAACAGCTGCAGCCTCTCTTCCAGAACAGACCTCAGCTGTAACACTAAGCTTATCAGTGTCCCTGTCCTCTCCAAATAGTACATATTGTATTTTTTTTCTTCTCCATTTGCTGTTTCTCACTATAGACCTGTATAACGGTGATTACTAATAACCACATGACATAGTCAGTACTAGGCTTTCTTCAAATCTCCTCCACTAAACAGGATAGACTACTTTTAAATTTAGTCTCAGACATTCTTAGTACAGGGACAGAAGGAATCTGTATTCTTTGCCAAAATTTCACAAGAACGGTCTCTCTCTCTTTCTCTCTCTTGCTCTCTCTCTCTCTCTCTCTCTCTCTCTCTCTCTCGCTCTCTCACTCTCTCGCTCTCTCGCTCTCTCTCTGGCTGATATCATTCTCCTATGAAACCTCTTGAGCTGGCCCTGCAGTCTGGGTAGCTCTCAGCACTACTGTCTTTCAAACTCCTCCTATGATGGCTTATTAGGCTCTTTGACCAACTGGTCTTTCCAGTTCAAAGCTCCAAAGTGTCTTAGTTAGGGTTTCTATTGCTGTAATAGAACATCATAACTGAAAATCAATTTGGAGAGGAAAGGGTTTATTTCACTTGTATTTTCAGATACCGTGACACTGAGGGAACTAAAGACAGGAGTTCAAGTAGGACAGAAACATGGAGGCAGGAGCTGATGCAGAGGCCATGGAAGAGTGGTGCTTACTAGCTCGTTCCCTATGGTTTGCTCAGCCTGCTTGCTTCCTTCCTTCCTTCCTTCCTTCCTTCCTTCCTTCCTTCCTTCCTTTTTTCCTTCCTTCCTTCTTCC